CTGACATGATAGAGACTTGGGCCTACCTTTTTTTCTATAGGCACAATGTCTCTGGTTTAATTCCTAGGTCCTTGATCCACTTTGATTTGAGGTTTGTGCATGGTGAGAGATAGAGGTTTAATTTCATTTTGTTACATATGGATTTCCAATTTTCCCAGCACCATTTGTTGAAGAGTCTATCTTTTTTCCAATGTAGATTTTTGGTGCCTTTGTCAAATATAAGATAACTGTAGTTATATGGGTTAGACTCTGTGTCCTCTATTCTGTACCACTGGTCTACAGGTCTGTTTTGAAACCAATACCATGCTGTTTAGTTACTATTGCTCTGTAGTATAGTTTAAGGTCTAGAATAGTAATGTCACCAGCTTCACTCTTCTTATTAAGGATTGCTTTGACTGTTCTGGGTCTCTTATTTTTTCAGATGAATTTCATGATTGCTTTTTCTATTTCTAAAGGAATGCCTTTGGGATTTTGATTGGGATTGCATTGAATCTATATAGTGCTTTTAGTAGTATGGTCATTTTGACAATATTAATTCTTCCTATCCAAGAACAAGGTAGATCTTTCCATCTTCTAAGGTCTTCCTTAATTTCTTTCTTTAGCGTGTTGTAGTTTTCATTGTAGAGGTCTTTCACCTCTTTTGTTAAGTTTATTCCTAAGTATTTTAGGTTTTTTTTTTTGAGGCTATTGTAAATGGGTGGTTTTCCTAGTTTCCCTTTCAGCAGATTTGTCACTGATGTACAGAAATGCCTTTGATTTATGGGTGTTGATTTTATATCAAGCTACTTTGCTGAATTCATCAATTCAATTCATTTCCTGAATGCTAGGAGATTTTTGATGGAATGTTTTGGGTCTTATAGGTATAGAATCATATCGTCTGCAAATAGTGATAATTTGAGTTCTTCTTTTCCTATCCGTATCCCTTTAATTTCTTTAGTCTGTCTGATTACTCTGACTAGAGGCTCAAGAACTATGTTAAATAGAAGTGGTGGCAGAGGGCATCTCTGTCTTGTTCCAGTTTTTAGAGGGAATGCTTTTAATTTTTCTCCATTTAGAATGATTTTGGCCTGGGGCTTAGCATAGATAGCCTTTACAATGTTGAGGTATGTTTCTGTTATCCAAAGTTTTTCTAGCATTTTGTACATGAAGGGATGCTGTATTTTATTAAATGCTTTCTCAGCATCTATTGAGATGATTATATGATTTTTATATGTTATATTGGTGTACTCATTTACCTCTAAGAATTTTTTAATCTCCTCCTTGATGTCTTTTGCAACCCATTGTTCATTCAGTAGCATATTATTTAATCTCCAGGTGTTGGAGTAGCTTTTATTTTTTATTTTATCATTGATTTCTAATTTAATTCCATTGTGGTCTAATAGAATGCAGGGTAGTATCTCTACTTTTTTGTATTTACTAAGATTTGTTTTGTGGCATAACATATGGTTTGTTTTAGAGAAGGATGCATGTGCTGCTGAGAAGAAAGTATATTCACTCCTTGATGGATAATATACTGTATATATGTCAGTTAAGTCTAAATTATTGATTGTATTATTGAGTTCTGTAGTTTCTTTGTTTAGCTTTTGTTGAGAAGATCTATTTAGTGGTGAGGAGGTGTGTTAAGTCACCCAGAATTATTGTGTTGTGATCTATTTGACTCATAAACTTGACAAGAGTTTGATGAACGTAGGTGCTCCATTGTTTGGGCATAAATGTTTGTAACTGTTATGTCTTGTTGATGTTGTTCCCTTAAGCAGTATGAAGTGTCCATCTTTATCCCTATTCATTAACTTTGCCTTGAAGTCTACTTTATTTGATATGAGGATGGAAACCTCTGCTTGCTTATGTAGACCATGTGAATGATATATTTTATCCCAACCTTTCACCTTCAGTCTGTGGGTGTCCTTTCCTATGAGATGAGTCTCTTGAAGGCAACATATTATTGGGTCTTTTTTTTTTTAAAAAATCCAATCTATCAGCCTATGTCTTTTTTTTTTTTTAATTTTTTATTGTTGGTTGTTCAAAACATTACAAATTTCTTGACATATCATATTCCACACTTTGATTCAAGTGGGTTATGAACTCCCACCTTCACCCCATACACAGCCTATGTCTTTTGATTGGTGAGTTTAAGCCATTAACATTTAGGGTTATTATTGAGATATGATTTGTATTACTGGTCATTTTTGTTTATTTTTTGTATTTAGCTTGACTTGGTTTCTCTTTTGGTTGGCTTTTCTTTTATTGTAGTTCTTCCCTTTGCAGATTTTTATTGTTGTTTTTCATTTCCTCCTCATGGAATATTTTGCCAAGAATGTTCTGTAGTGCAGGTTTTCTTGCTGTAAATTCTTTTATCTTCTGTTTATCATGAAAGGTTTTTATTTCATCATTTAATTTGAAGCTTAATTTTGTTGGATATGATTCTCGGTTGGCATACATTATCTTTTAGAGCTTGGTATATGTTGTTCCAGGATCTCCTACCTTTGAGAGTCTGGGTTGCAAAATCTGCTGAGATCTAAATTGGTCTTCCCTTATAGGTAATCTGATTTTTCTCTCTTGCGGCCTTTAAAATTCTATCCTTATTCTTTATGCTAGGCATTTTTATTATAATGTGTCTTGGTATAGATCTGTTGTAATTTTGTACATTTGGTATCCCATAGGCCTCTTATATTTGATTTTCCAATTCATTTTTTATGCTTGGGAAATTTTCAGATATTATTTCATTGAAGAGATTGTACATTCCTTTGGTTTGAATCTCTGAACATTCCTCTATCCCAATAAATCTTTTGATGGGGTTGCCTACCTATCCCATAATTCTTGGATAATCTGTTCATGGTTTCTTACCATCTTCACTGTGAGGTCAACTTTATTTTCAAGATTGTATATTTTTTCTTTGTTGTCTGAGGTTCTGTTTTCCAAGTGGTCTAGTCTGTTGGTGATGCTATCTATTGAGTTTTTTAATTGGCTTATTGTTTCTTTCATCTCAAGGATTTCTGTTTAGTTTTTTTTTTTTTTTTTCAGTATGTCTGTCTCTTTCTTGAAGTAATCTCTTGCAACCTGTATTTGGTCTCTTATCTCTTTGTTGGTTTGATCCATGGTTGCCTGAATTTGTTCTCTTATCTCTTTGTTGGAGTGATTGATTTTTGCCTATATCTGGTTACTTAGGTTGTTCTTTAATACCCAAATCATTTTAGTTATGTATATTCTGAACTTCTCCTCTGACATTTCACTTACTGCACTCACTACCTATGGATTCTCTTGTTGTAGTGTCTTGGTTTGGGGCACTTTCCTCCCTTGTTTTTTCATGGTCTCTGTGTGACTTCCTCTCTTGCAGTGTAAATATGAAGTATTACAGCTTCTGCCCTATTGTCTTACAGTGTCCCTATAGGTTACCAATACCTCACTTTTAAGGAAGAGATCAATATTTCAGCACTCAATGTACCCAACATATAGCTATATATCAGTTAGCTTCTATTTTTACATTTACAGTTTTGTCACTATAATTGGAAATGATGAGTTCAGTTATCTTCAACCATATAGTCAATAGATTTGCATAATGGTTTACAGTTTCTGATGGTGGAAGTGGGGACTGGAGGGTTGGCTGAAATGTTTATGAGGTAGGATGTGAGAATATAGAGATATGAGATTATATGACTAGTGAGAGGAAATCATAGGAAGTTGGCTGTTAGTAGGAGAAACAAAAGGTAGGCAACCCCATGCAAGACTCCCTATTACCTCAGCAACAGGACAACTGTTATCACCCCTAGTAGAGAAATCTCTGGCACAGCCAGGCCACAGGGACCTTGGTGACATGTTACCAGGTCCTTATTTTTGTCCCTTGATAGAAGAGGTGGTATCCCAGTTTCATGGTGGTGGCAGCCTCAGACCTATGTGTATCCTGATGTTGTGTTGTGGAGACATGCTTTGGTCAATAAGGAACCCCAGCGTGGGTTAGCTCTGCCTCTAGAACTCTGGGCCGCGGTGGTGTGAGGCAAGCATGCTCTACCTCCCCAGCAGCATAGTTTATGAGTTTCCTTGTTGGTTATTCTTCTAGGAAGGATTTACAAGAGTTTACTCTTTGGAATGAATTCATTTTAGTACAAATATGAAGTAGGCTATAAGACTCTAGGAATTACTGTCCACCCACCCAACCAAGGGAGAGCTTTTCAGAGCACAGTTTCTGATTATGTTTCTCTTTTTTCAGTGGCTCCTTTTCCTGCAGAATAAAATCTAAATGCCTAGCATTTAGTAATGTTTGCAATCTACCTTTAATCTTCCTTTCTTCCTCTGCTCCCACAATTTAAAAAAAAAAGATTTTTTTGTGTGGAATATTAAATCTAGGGATACTCTACCACGAAGCTACGTCTCCAACCTTTTATATTTTTTATTTTGCAACAAGGTTTCACTAAGTTGCCCAGGCTGAACTTGAACTTGTAACCTTCCTGCCTCAGCCCCTGGAGTCAATGGGATTACAGGTCCTAGTGTGTACTACCATGCCTGGCTCATGCATGAATCTTTATGACTTGCTCACCTTTCTACCTGAGGAGATTCTATCTATCCTTCAAGACCCAACATAAATGAGACCTCCTCTAGGAAGGCTTCCCAGATACCACCAATCAGTATTAGTAATTCTCACCTCTGTTTTTTCTAGACCTAAGTTCAATGAGTGATTTTTGCCTTTATACTCTTCTGATAGCCCTGTGAAATAAGGAGATCCAAATTTTTTTTTTTATATCACTTCAACAACATCAACTGTCTCTGCTACAAAAATAATTAGGACCCTTGTTATTCCTGCCCCAAGGAGCTCATGGCCTTGTAAATGCCCCCAGTGGGTGGTAGGGACCGTGGTAGAGAGGCATGCATGGGAACCAGAGGCAGGGCCCACTGTGTTTGGGGGAATGTGTGGTGAACATCGTTTATTTACCTTCATCTCTAGCACTCACGTTATCCTTCCTCAGCCTCTGTCCCTCACTGACCAGATTGTTTCCCCCTTTGGCTAGTCAGTTGCAGGGCTGGGACATATTATGATGGAGCACAAGAACGCTGCATTTTATGTCCAAATGGAACCTTCCAAAATGAGGAAGGACAGATCACTTGTCAACCATGCCCAAGACCAGAAAATCTTGGGTCCTTAAAGACCCCAGAAGCTTGGAATGTGTCTGAATGTGGAGGTAAGGATGCTGTCTGTCTCTTCTTACTCCTCCAGTTTCCAATGTCATTATCTAAACTAAGGCACAGTGGCATCTCAAGGATTTTGGATGACGAACACTGGACCTTAGGCTTCCTATGAGTAAGGACTATGTTGGGTTGGTTTGGTTCTCCAGTGCTTGGGTCAGAACCTGATGCTGTGCCAATGCTCACATGAGCAAGTGAATGAAGATGGCATAGAATACACTGGTAGAAAATCATCAATGTTGCAATTGTTTGCTTTATTCACCCTAAATACATGTATCTGAGATCCAAGTAGTTCCAGTTCATAAGGAATGTTTGAAAGTGTTCAAGTGGAGAAGACTTTTTTTTCCAGCTTTGATCTCAAATTCAGAGATTTTTTAAAAAAATGTTGTTGTTGTTGTTGATGTACTTTTATTTTACTTGTGTATTTATATGCTGTGCTGTGAGTCTAATCCATTGCCTCACACATGCTAGGCAAGGGCTAAGCTATGACCCCAACCCTCAGGGTTTTTTAATTTAAAACAAATATATCCTTCTGGTTGTTTTGCTAAAACTGGAAGCTCCTTTCTGAAAAGTTTTAAATCATCTCTTACAAAATGTTAACTTTGAAGCCAAGCTTGGTTAGTTTCTGTGATCTACTTTCCCATTTATTTTATTATTAAACATCTTCCTTTTGTTAAATGGGAGGAAGGCTGGCTATATGGACCTGTGTAGGCTCCAGTGGAAGATGTGATCTGGATGGTGGTTTCTAACTGACAGACCCAGCAGAGTGCAGGGGCCCCTGTAATGCCTTGTGGTTCTCCATCCAGTGACTCCCAGATACAGCATTAGTTCCCATCCAAATGACTCAACTCAACTATAGGGATGTTTCTTTTCTCTCTCTCCTCCCTCCCTCCCTCCCTCCCTTCCTTCCTTCCTTCCGATTGAATTCAGGGGCACTCAACCACTGAGCCACATCCCCAACCCTAGTTTGTATTTTATTTGAGACAGGGTCTCACAGAGTTGCTTAGTGCCTCATCGTTGCAGAGGCTGGATTTGACTCATGATCCTCCTATCTCAGCTTCCTGAAGTGCTGGGATTTTAGACGTGTGCCACCACTCCTCGCTACAGGGATGTTTCTGAGTTAAACATCAGATCTTTTAATTGAGTGTATGATCCCTCCCATATCTTTGATTTGTTGTGAAACTTCAGAACTAATTGCAAGGGTGATAAGAGGCAGCTTCTGGGCATCAGGTCATCCTTATATGTGACCTTATTAAGATATATTTATAAGCTAGGTATGGTAGTGCATGTCTGTAATCCCAGAAGCTCAGGAGGCTGAGGCAGGAGGATCACAAATTCAAAGCCAGCCTCAGCAACTTAGTGAGGCCCTAAGCAACTTAGCAAGACCTTATCTCAAAATTAAATATAGAAAGGCTGGGGATGAGGCTCAGTGGTTAAGCACTGACTTCAATCCCTGGTACCAAAAGAAAAAAGATACATTTATAGCAATAAGAAAAGTATTATTAATAAAAATATCTAACATTTATTGAATGCTTACCATTGCTAAGCATTATGCTAAATATATGATATGAATTATTCATGATATGGTCCTATCACAGTGATTCTTCAAGTCACTGTGTCACTAACACAGTCAAGAAGTGGAGGATTTGGAGTCAGAATCGAGGTCTGACAGCATCCAGACTCTTCCCTTGGTTGTGCATTTATTTATTTATTTATTTACTTACTTGCTTACTTTTTGGTGCTGGAGATTGAACCCAGGGCCTTGTGCATGCAAGGCAAGCACTCTACCAACTGAGCTATATCCCAAGCCCTGGTTGTACATTTTTAAAATGCTATTATATCTACAATTTATGGTTAAAAACAAAACCATTAAAATCAACAGAGGAGAAGTGATTAAGAATACAAGAGACAACAGATTTTTATAGCATCTTGCCAATGACAAACTTATTCCTAAGAAACATGTTCTTTAGGATTTTTTTTTTGTGTGTGTGTGTGTGTGTGTATGTGTGTTAATGATTGTGTTTATTGTCCTAACCTTGGGGAAAAAAAGAGAAATCATTGCTTAAAGTAAATGCCCTTGGGTCCCTCTGTCCATGTGGACTGGATAGTTTGGATTTAGTTGACTCATTGAGGTAGGAAAGGACACACCTCAATGCAAGGAGATGTAACTTTGTAAATATAATTGGTAAGCGGGAGATTCTTCGAGTCACTGTGTCACTAAGATGTGATCCACTGGATGAGGGTGTAGTATTTCTGGGTCCAATTGCCATATTGATTCCAGAGTAAAGATATCTCCCTCTCTTTCCCTCTTTCTCTGGTGACTCCTGCTTGGGGTCCCTGGGCAGTGTGTAGGCCTAAGTCTGAGACATGCTCAGTCCTTTCCTATATTTTAGAAGCAGCTGCTGTTTGACTCTTGGTTCTCATCTTGTTGTGCAGCCCTGTGCGTAAACACCAGGCACTCACCAGTCACCTCCTTGGGGTGGCAGGGCAGGGCTGACTCTGCTTCTCTCACTCAGGTAGGCTCTGAGGTCAGCATAGGGTAACAGGCCTGACCAGAGTCAGATCTTATAGAAGAGAGGTGGGAATGGCCTGCCTAGGAGCCTTCCTTATCTAGGGCCATTGGTCCCCCCAGGTCTGTGCCAACCTGGAGAATATTCTGCGGATGGCTTTAAACCTTGCCAGCTCTGTGCCCTGGGCACATTCCAGCCTGAAGCTGGCCGAACTTCTTGCTTCCCCTGTGGAGGAGGGCTCCCCACCAAACATCTGGGAGCAACTTCCTTCCAGGACTGTGAAACCAGAGGTGAGTATTTGCTTTCCCCTAGAATTGAATTTCCTTTTTGAGTACTCTGGGAGTCTGGTGAAGGTTCCATTGAACCCAGCCCAGAGGTTCCCTGTGTGGTGCTTAATAACCAAGGGTTCAGTCCCTGTGCAGGAAGTGCTAGAACTCCCTGGACCGGGTCTCTCCACAGCCATCTTGGCTTCTTAGGACAGGGCTGACCAGGGATGGATCAGAGAGACATGAGCAGGTTTTGAACACGGGCTCCCTTGGTTCCATCCTCCAGCCCTCTTCCACCTCAGTGCCCTGGCCTAGAGCTCCCCTACCCCAGTACAGGTCCTATCCCTTCTCCAGAACCCCACTTCCACTGTCTCTTCCCAGGGGACCAAGCCTCAGCCCAGCCTCAGTCTATATCCTTGATACCCACAACCATTGTGCCTGAAGATGTCAGCTGCCACTGACTGCAAGAGCCACACACTCTCTGAAGACATGCACAGCTTGCTCCTTCATGTTTTCTCAGTGTCACGAGTCCTACCCAAACCCACTGTTTGAGTGTTCATTAACCCCAGATAGGAAAGCACTTCTTCATTTGGGCATAAAAACTTATTTCACAAACTTTGAAACCTTTCATGTTGCATTAATAAAAATACAGTCTTCTTGTTTTCATTTTCTTCACCCTTTCCTCACAGTTCAGTGTTCACCTGGACATTTCTACAACACTACCACTCACCGATGTATTCGCTGCCCAGCAGGGACATACCAGCCCGAATTCGGAAAAAATAACTGTATTTCTTGTCCAGGAAACACTACAACGGACTTTGATGGCTCCACAAACATTACCCAATGTAAAAGTAGGTCTCTCTCTAAGGCTTCTGTGGTCCTTATCAAGAGGGAAAGTGTCTGGGTCCAGCCTTAGAGGAGGGTAGGGTAAAGTGGCCAGGGTTCCCAGGTTCATTCAGAACCTTGTCTGTTTTTAGCCCAGCTCACAGCTATGCAGATAAGCACTGAGGGAAGGCGGGACTACAGTCTCCTCAGCTGTTAAAATGGAGATAATAGCTTTGACCTGGAGGTACTCTCCTTGTTTTTGTATGTGAGGTGCTGGAGATTGAACCCTGACCCTTGTGCATGCTAAGCACACACTCTGCCACTAAGCTCCACCACAGCCCCTACTTACCTCTGCTGACCCGGGATGCTTCCCCAGGCACACTCACAGCTGGATTTGCCCTGATTCCCCCCAACCCAGGGCATAGTTTCAGTGGGTCCTGCCCAGCATGCACTGTTCAAGGGTGTATTGTGTGCCAGGCATCCTGCTGAATAAATCAGCTGGGCCAGCCCTGCCAGGAGCCAGGCTGTGTGTCTGCAAAGGAAGGAGCAACCCACTAGTCTGGAGAGATGAGGCAAGGTCTCTGGAGGGTATGGAAGGTTTTGATGGAGATAGTGGACAGAGCAGGAAAGAGCATCTTACTGAAGAGCCACTGAGGAGAAGCACAGACCCAGGAAAGTGAAAAGGCCTCTGGAAAGAGACCCTGGGCCTGAGCACAGAAGAGTTGGCACACCAAGTGTGCCTAGTTAAGGAGCTTAACTTGTATTTTACAGCAATGAGGGGGCAAACATTTAAGGACTTGCTGCATCAGGTTTTCCTCCTCCCCACCTTAATCATTACATACAATTTTCTAGTAAAGGCCAAAAGTTAAGCTCAACTAATGTTGTATCTTTTTTTTAATATATTTTTTTAGTTGTAGGTGGACACATACCTTTGTTTTATTTTTATGTGATGCTGAGGATTAAACCCAGTGCCTCACATGTGCCAGGGGAGCGCTCTACCACTGAGCTACAGCCCCAGCCCCCTAGTGTTGTATCTTTAAGATAGCAATTGAGGGGAGCAAGGAGGACTCCCCAGAATAGAGTAATTTGGGATGGAGAAGGGCAGTGAAACATTTGAATTTTTGGGGTACTGAGGATTGAACTCAGGGGCACTCAGCCACCGGAGCCACATCCCCAGCCCTATTTTGTATTTTATTTAGAGACAGGGTCTCAATGAGTTGTTTAGCTCCTCACTTTTGCTGAGATTGGCTTTGAACTCACTATTCTCCCATCTCAGCCTCCCAAATCACTGGGATTACAAGTGTGCACCACCCCACCCAGCTGAAGTTCTTTTAACATCTTTATAAGCAGCCATCAAGGTTCCTCTTAAATACCTGCTGCCACAGGAAGCTCACTCTCTTTCATGATCTTCTAGCCTATTGGTAAATGAGACTTTGGCAAAGTTCACAGAGTTAGGAAATTTCCTTATCTTCCCACTCCCTGGCCTTTGTTGGCCCTTAGGACCACGTGACACAGTTCCTCAGGTAGCCATTCAAGCCTGAAGGCTGTGTTTTTCCTAATAATGACAACTCTCTATTATAATTAGAGAAGAAGAAAGTAATCCCTTCTCTCTCTCTCTCTCTCTCTCTCTCTCTCTCTCTCTCTCTCTCTCTCCCCCCACCCACCCCCTTAGTACTGGAGATTGAACTACTGAGCTATATCCATAGCCCTTTTTATTTTTATTTTGACTCAGGGTTTTGCTACGTTACTGAGAACCTTACTAAGTGGCTGAGTCGGGCTTTGAACTTGTGATCCTCCTGCCTAAGCCTCCCAAGTCACTGGAATTACAGATGTGTGCCACTGTGCTCAGCTCCCTTCAATATTGCTCAGATTTACTTGGCAATAGTAAACACTAACCTCTTTGAGGGCAAAGACTAGATCCCTCTCAGTCCTGAACTCCCAGAGCTTTGGGTGACATGTGTTAGACAGTGGGGATTTGGTGAATAAAGACAAGGGTGGGGGCGGGGAGGGTGTGCCTGTGCACATTAGTTAGCTCTTTGTCTTCCCTACTTAGAAATAAAATGTGGTTGTAACCAGAAAGAAAAGTGAAGAAATCTGTTTTATCTTCATCAATGGCCTCAGTCAAATGTTCTTTATTGAGCAATGAGCTCTGTTCTCCCTATTTGGACAGACGTAGAAGTTCTATTCCATGGGTTCCCCCTATACTTGGACTTCTAAGCAAATATTTAAAGCTAAATCTGTTCTTTTGTTCATTAACAGCTGACCTTAGCATCTTTAGGCTAATGGGAAAATGGCACCACTCCGAGGGGTGGCCCCTTTGTGAGAGTTCACAATGACTCCCAAAGGGGGCCCTAAGTCTTATTCCCAAGATGACGCCATCTCTGTGCCCCTTCCTCCATATGGTAGGGATGTGGCAGTTCTTAAGCCAGGCTAGCAGGGGCCATGAGAGATGACTGTGTTGAGCCCTTATAACTCATGGCATTTCCTTTTCCAGACAGAAGATGTGGTGGGGAGCTGGGAGATTTCACAGGATACATTGAATCCCCAAACTATCCAGGCAATTACCCAGCCAACACCGAGTGTACCTGGACCATCAACCCACCTCCCAAGCGCCGCATCTTAATTGTGGTCCCTGAGATCTTCCTACCCATAGAGGACGACTGTGGAGACTACCTGGTGATGCGGAAAACCTGTGCGTCTCACCCTCTGCTTCCCTCTCTTCCTAAGGCCAGCTGGGAAGCCTGAGGACCTGCTCCCCGGGCTTTAAATGTGAGGAGCAGGCTAGACTGTCACCCCCGTATTAGAACAGAGATGGGGTGTAAGTTTATAGAGTTGCCAAGGAATGACACATAGACTAAGGGCTGGAGATGTAGCTCATTCATAGGGCACTTACCTAGCATGTGCTAGGCCCTGGGTTTAATCCCCAGTGCCAAATTAATACTATTAATAATAAATTTGACAAAAACCATACATCAAGGCCTTTTACTGAACCCCAGAGGCAGGGACCCTGCAAGTCATTCTTCTCCTCTGTATTCACTGGGATTTTTGGACCCTCTCCACTGGGACATGGAGAGGAAATGAGGCATGTGCAGTGCTGGCTCCAGACACTGCCTCACGCTGGATAGCAACTCCTGACTTGGGGAGGGACCAAGGCATGATGCAGCCAGAAGGGGCCCCTCCCTCTATCCTGACTCATGACCCAAGGTCCATAAGGGATGCCACCATCAACACAGCTTAGCAGCAGTCCTCTGAGTGGGCTTAATTCCAAATCCACCTCTTATTGGTACTATGATCTGGGCACTGCCATCTCCGTAATGATTAAAGTGGGGAAATAATAACTGCTGTCTCACAGGGTTATTAGATGGACTAAATTTGTTAAGCACTTAGAAAAATAATGGCAAGCCAGGCACAGTATCACACACCAGTATTCCCTTCTACTCAGGAGGCTCATGTGGGGGGATTGCTTGAGCCCAGGAGTTCAAGACCAGCCTTGGCAACATAGTGAGACCTCATCTCAAAAAAATAAAACCCAAAACAAAAACAAAAAAAAAAATCAATAGAATAATAATAGCACATTGAGCTACTATATAAATATTTCCTATTCTTATTAATGGTTACAATGTCTGATGTCAAGTGAAGATTTGAATCCCAACCTTATCCCAGACGGGCTCTGTGGCTCTAGGTGCGTACTTACCTCTCTGTAAAAGAGTTAACAGTTGAACCCACTTTTTGTGGTTTACAGAGGATTAAATGAGAGAAAGTCCCTAAAATGGGTATTAGCACACTTCTGGGTCTTGAGAAGCATGCATCAAATGGGGGTGAGTGTTATTAGATAATGGCAGCTGGGCTCTGAAATTCAAGGGCCCTCTCCCCACCTCTGCAGTGTGCCCAGCCACAGGCAGCTCAAGCCTAGCCTTCCCTGGAGGCTATTCTATTCCCAGTGCTTTACTGTTAGGATGAGTCAGCTAGACCTAAAGGGCTCTTCAACATACCTTGTTTTATGGTTTGAGTATTTGAAAAGATGAGGATTCATTGTCTGCCCACTCAGTGGCATCTTAAATGACACCCTCTCCAATTTCACTCTGCAGCATCGTCCAATTCAGTGACAACCTATGAAACCTGCCAGACCTACGAACGCCCCATCGCCTTCACCTCCAGGTCAAAGAAGCTGTGGATTCAGTTTAAGTCCAATGAAGGGAACAGTGCCAGAGGGTTTCAGGTCCCATATGTGACGTATGACGGTAAGCACCGTGAAGCTCGGACAGTAGCACATGACAGAGGCGTCTCTAGTTTGAACAGAACCAATTTCTGAGCCAGCTGGTGGATTGCTGACAAGCACACATGCTCAGAAAGGCAGCCATGGTGAGGGGAAAGAACATCGCTGACTCACAAGTGCCACATTTTAAGCGGGCATTTGGGGACACTGACTACAGGGATGAAAAGATGGTTTAGAAGATCAGCTTAGTGGATCATGGGCATTGAAGTCAGACAGCCCAGCTATTATCTCATCTGTGATTCTATGTACCATCTCCAGGCCTGCCTTCCTTCCTTCTTTCCTCCTCCTCCTTCTCCTTGTCCTCTTTCTCTTCCTCCTCCTTTTTTTGTTGCTAGGCATTGAATTGAGTTCAATGCATGTTAAACCCACACTGTACCACTGAGCTACACTCCTAGTTGAGTCTCATTTTCTTAATGTTTGATGAGGATAATCATTAGATTTAATGTGAGAGTTCCTAAAGGACTTGGTGTAGTACCTGGCACACATAATTGCTCAATAAATACTTCTTATGATTATGGCTTTTATTGTACAGAATCCTGAAGGAGGAAAAAAGGCCTGAGTTCTGGTTCTGGCTCTGCCACTGACTTTCTTTGTGACTAGGCAAGTCAGATGATGTCTCTAGTTTCATTTTCTTCATTTTAAATGAAGGAGTGGTCCTCCTGAGCCCTGGGACCCAACTCTCTGAATAGGTTGATGAACATTTATGGAGCATAAAATGAATTATAACTTGTCCTAGAGGGGCTTCATAGTCTAGAAGGGAAGAGTCATCTGTCCATTCATGAACATATTCATGCATCTACCCAACAGATATTTAATGAGCCTCTGCTAGGCTAGGAATTGGGCCAAGTACTGGAGACAATCTGGTTAGTGATATGAACACAAAACTGTATATATTGTCATAGATGCTTTAACAGGGCATATACACAGCACTGTGAGCACAGAAGGGGCAGCAGTTATTTTGCATGGATTTTTGGAAGGAACAGAATATAGTCTGAACAGATTTGGGTCATAATAAAATATAGGGGGCATAAATGGGGAGGAAGAATATTCAGGAAGAAGGAAAGGCCAGAGGATGGCATGTGTGGGGTCTGATTTGACCAGTGAGTGGGGAGCATGGGGCTTAACAGTGAAAGGAGATGAGGTGGGAAGGGCCTTGAGGGCCAAGTTTAGGATTGTAGACTTAATCTTATAGGGAGCCATTGGAAGTTTTTAGGTAAAATGCAAAAACTAGATGTTTAGAAAAAATAGCATTCTCTGTCTCTCTTAAAAACACTTATACATAATTTATTTCCAACATGTGACAACAGCTAGGATCATTATTCCTGTCCTGCAGTTGCCTAAAGTAATGTCAAACACCCAAGACAAGGGCTTTTAGTGTCTGACTCCTGGGGCAGACACAAATGCCTCCCACATGCCTCTGCTGAATGAGACAGAGAGCCTAGTCATCCACCTGGAAGCAGCTAATGGACAACCTGTCCTGTGGGAATTAGGAAGGAAGCAGAGCAGACGCAGGGGCTCCAGAATACATGTCACCAAGGCTCACACAGTTTAGTGTAGCTGTTCTCATCTCCGTCTTTGTGACACAGGAAATATCTTGATTTTTTTTTTTTTAATTAAGAAAAAGAGTTGTAGCTTGAGCCAGGGCAAGTTATGCATAGTCCTGGATAGGCCCATGAGAGTGTACCAGGCATGTGTCATAGCAGAAAAGTGTCGAAAACTGCCACTTTGTCCCTCCAGAAGCCCCTCAGGTCCTTACTCAGAGTTTATATTTTAAAACTTGTATTTTTGTATCTGATTTCAAAGCCCAAAAGACTAGAAATTACAGTCAGAAGGTGCGGTTGGGGCTGCTGCAGATGAGCCTCCTGACTGCCACAGAAGGGAGAGGATTGCAGTCCTGGCAAACAGGTACTGAGCATTCCTGAGCACTAGATATGTCCTGAGGCACCTTTTAATGGTACAGTCCTCATAGTCACTCCATACATGACACATTTGTTTCCTGGTTTTACAGATGAGGCCATTCAGGTTTAGAGATTTAAGTAACTGGCTTAAGGTCACAGTATGACAGACACAGAGCTGGGATTTGCCTTTGTCTTTTGGACTCCAGAGCCTGGGTTCCCACTTGCAATGCTTTTCTGCTTTTCCTAAGGCCTGGAGCAAGGAAGGAGACACACTAGCTCTTAGAAGTAGAGGACTTTTTTTTTTTTTTTAAAACAGCAGTTTAGAAGCATTTGGTGCAGTGGCAAACCGCTGTCTAGAATATTACAACCATCTATATTCCTAGGGGTCAACTCCCATCAAGGACAGGAGCCACTCCTCTGAGGTAGAGACATTGCAGCAAGGGGATTCATGACTTAAAATTAAAAAATAATAATAAAATAAAACTTGTACACTTGCTCATATTCAATATTCACTAACATAAAAGGAGAATGATACCACATTAGTAGAGTAGCAATGACGTTGTACATGTACCAAATTAGTAATTATATATAATATAGTGTTAATTTCCACTCACCATCTCTTGACTGAAAGGAACTTTTCAAGAGCTTCTCCCGCACAATTTCAATGATGTTCTCATAATTCGTGTGGCTTTGTAGCACATGATATGCATACAAAGAGGCATTTTTAATGTCTGGGATTTGAAAAAGATTGTGCTTTGCATATGCTTGATTTGAATTATGACTGTGGGAAAGAGACTAGACTGTAAAGATGGAGGGCTTCATTTAGAGAAGGATTATCATGTGCACTGCATTTAATGTATGTCAGGACAAAAAATTATTAGTGAAAAAATGAACAGTGCTTTCTTCCTCTCTGGCCAGCCGAATTCTTTACCCTCAGCCCCAGTCAAATAAAGGAAAGATGAATTTTGCTTATTTGATAAGAAGCTTGATTGTTTAATGCTAAACAAGGACAGAGGGAAGGGAGGTAGAGAGGGAAAGAAAAGCCCGGATGAGCTCCCAATGGAGTGCACACAGACAGAGAAGAGCAGAGCACCAAAGACTGAGCCCTGGAACCCTCCTACAATAAAAGGCCAAGGAAAGGAGTGAGCAGCCAGTGAGGTAGGAGGAAAACCAAACAGCAAAGTATTCTGGAAGCCAAGAGAAGAATTTGATCAAGGTGGAGGTGTGACCAGCAAGTCACATGCTACTGATATGTCAAAGGTTGAAGGTCACTGCTGATCTCAACCAGCAGTTTTGGAGGAGTGATGGGGGACCAAAGATGATTGGACTGGGTTTAGGAGAAGAAGAAGAGAATTGGGTACTGTGAGTATTGACCATTCTTTTGAGGGGTTTTTCAGCAAAAAGAAGCAGAGAAGTGGGGTGGAAGCTGGAGGGAGAAATGAAGTCGAGGGAGGGATTTTTTAAAGATCTGAGACATAATTGCCTGTTTGTATGCTAATCAGAAAGATCAATAGAGAATTTTTATCATGTAGGAAAGAAATCAGAGAATTACTGGCACAGATGCTCTTGATTTAGTGAGGGAAGATGGCACTGGAGTGCCAAGTGGAGGGATGGGCCTCAAGTGGACACAAAGAGGGCTCATCTGAGGGAAGAGAGGACAGGGAGACAGGGGCAGAGGTCTGTGGCCAGTGGAAGTGATGGAAATCTGTGCATGGGTGTTCTCTGATGATTGTCTTTTCAATGTCAGTGTGGAAAGTGTTCTGAGATAGCCACAGAAGGGACGCTTCTCAGAACCTTATCAAAAATGAAAGAGCACATTTGGAGATAACTAAACCATAAGAATACAAAAAATGTCCTTTATTCCAACAGAAGACTACCAAGAACTCATTGAAGATATCGTTCGAGATGGCAGGCTCTACGCATCTGAGAACCACCAGGAAATACTTAAGGTGAGTACTTGTCTCTAGTGGACATGGTGTTTTTCACAGAAATCCCAAATACAGTCTTGAAGTCTTTCCTGCCACCTCTCAGACTCGGAGACTGCCCTTGACCAATGCTCAGTTTCATAACTTCCCCAGACATGATTTTTTTAAATTTATTTTTTTGGTATAGATAGACACAACACAATGCCTTTATTTTTATGTAGTTCTGAGGATTGAACCCAGGTCCTCCCGTGCTAGGTGAGCGCTCTACTGCTGAGCCACAATCCCAGCCCCAAGACAGACATGATTTTTTTTAAAGAACAGGCTTTTATTTTCAGTGTTGTCAAGTGAAGTTGTATTTTTCAATTTGGAAATTTGTAAAGGGGCAGTTTTGAGGAAGACTTGCTTATAAATCCAAGACAGTGGTATATAGTATTTTCATATTAATTCCAAATAGTGGGGAACCTTTTTCTCCATATTTGTCCTTCATAAAGTCTACCAAATTTTGTATACTTATAAATAATTAGCAACAAACACTTGCTATATCACCAACTGTATAAGTATCCCCCAGCTCCCCATTTTACATTTCATCTAATTGAGAAAAAAAATCAGGGTTTTTTTGTATATTAAATGTTCTTTATAAAAAATAATGCATACTTATTAGAGATAATTGTAAAAAATGAAAACTGAAAAGATAAAAATCGGAAGAAACAATTTTCACAAAGTGTTTTTTAGTTAATCAAGCTACTGCTTAATACTGGGTCATTATAGTTTTGTTGGCAAAATGTCAGGATGTTTAAACAATTTGGCCCAGTAACAAAAATTCTGTTCTCTTTAGGATAAGAAATTGATCAAGGCTCTGTTTGATGTCCTGGCCCATCCCCAGAACTATTTCAAGTATACAGCCCAGGAGTCCCGAGAGATGTTTCCAAGATCTTTCATCCGATTGCTACGTTCCAAAGTTTCCAGGTTTTTGAGGCCTTACAAATGACTGCCCACATGCCACAAATGTTCGGCTGTGGGCTTGGTGGGATGGAGCCGTCTATCTGCCTTCCACATAGTCGGATATTGCCGTCTCCAGTATCAGTGACTCATTAGAGTTAAATTTTTATAGATAATACAGATATTTTGGTAAACTGAACTTGAATTTTCTTTCCCAACATTGTGGAATGGCTTTGAGTAGCACTGACTTCTCACTGCTATGGGAAGTATGACCAGATGTCTCAGGTCCTGCAAGGACTGGCTGAGCTAGACTTCAGTCAGTGCAGGTGAGACTCACCCTCCTTGGGTCTCTCTCCTCCTCTGGAGTCTGTAGTAGTGAAAGGACACCACAGAAGGGCTGCTCTGTCTGAAACATCAGCTTTCTCCAGCCTGGGGCTCCCTAAGGCAGCCCTCCAAGCCCCTGTGCAGGCTCTGAGCAGGCAAAACAGGCAAGGAGGGAGGGAGGGCGCCATCCACCCACCCTGAGACCTGAAAGGACTCTGTTTTCCACAGCCTTCTCCAGCCTGTGTGAGATAAGTTTGATCTCAGGAGCTTGAGTTCTAAGCTGTGATCATTTTTTAAAAAAATACTGAAAGCCAAAAGAATTAGAAATAAACCTAAGCCCTTCTGGAGACTTAATAGTGTATACATGTTGCCAGCTCCCCTCTCCTACCCTGCAGCAAATGCACACAGCTGGTTTTAGCACCTTTCCTTGTGCCCTCAGACATGGCTGAGCACCGAATTAGGGCTTAGAGAGTTTGGGTGGATGCAGTCTCCTTGGTGGATGAGAATTCACCATCATCAAAAGGAGATTTCACCAACCCTGGTCAGTATAGCCGAGGGTCTTCTTTCCACCACAAGGCTTCCTCCCAGCAGGCACCTGAGGACCACGTGGGATATGGGGCCCAGCCTGTCACTTGTGCCTTCTGTCCTCACTCTCCAAGGGCAGGGTGGATTCTGTTCTGGGCAGTACTGTTCACGATGCGCTCATTCTCTGATGGTAGCAGCACTACTGGGAGCAGCTACACACTGGCCTCTGCATTTTTAATAGTATCACGTTTTTAAACATTTAAATCCCAAGTCAGAGTCTCATTACAGTGGGTAAAAAAGAATCTTGTCGGATAAGCTGCCATTTCCTAACCGAAGAACTGAGTACACACAGACATAGTGTTTTGTTATTTCAGTGATAATTCTACATACAATTTTCTATACCAAAGTACTAAAAAAATGTGTAACAAGTTTTTCTTGAAGAAAACAAAGATGATTTCATTATTATTGAACATATTTTTTACCCCCATGTTGTTTTTTAAAAACCATTATAACATTGTTTTCTTTAGCCCTAATGAAGCTTCTTTATTTGGATGGGTCCTAAATCCCCACTCTCAGATTTCTCTTTAAAAATTTGAACATCTTCATTAAAAAAATTATTAAAAAAAGCACTTGCAATTTGTTTAACTGGAGCTTGGCCTATATTTCTGAGTCTAACTATAAGATGAGAAGTTAATGTAAATAACCTGAGTTGTGATGAAACCGGTGAGGAGATAAGATGGGCTGAGCTGTGCCATCCTGTCCAAGCATGTTAGTAACTTTGTGCTCAAGCAAGTGTGATTCTCTATTGTCAATTCCACAAGAAATCTGGGGGTGGGTATGCTCTGGGGGTTGGAAGGAGAATGCATAAACCTGATTGCTGTGGAACATCCTCCAGGAACAGCCTCATGCACCAGAGCTGTGCTCCTGGGACAAGCATGAGCCCCTGGGCCCTCCTGAAGCTTTCTCTCTAGACCTATCAATCATCCTAAGAGACACTCCCTGTTGGAAGGCTGGCTGCGGCTGCTGTTGCTCTCTACTAACTGAAGAAATATTTATCGAACATCCCCTCTGTGTCAGGTACTGTTCTAGGCCCTAGGGAAGCACTGTGATAAGAACTAGAGTCCCTGCACTGGTGGAGCTTACATTTTAGAGGGAAGAGACAGACAACAAACAACACAAAAACAATCTGCTGAGTGGTTAATGCAATGTTGAAAATTGAAACAGGTTAATGTAACAGACGGCTGTGTTTGGGGTCTGAAAATGGCTTCTATGGGGAAATGGCACTTCAACTGAACACTACTTGGCAGGGAGGAATGAGCCTTGGGAAAATAGGGGAAGAGCATGCCTGATAGAGGGGCACCAAGTGCAGAGGCTGTGCACAGATGAGGCTGTGTGTCTGTCACAGTCTGGTGAGAAGGCCAAGATGAGGTTCAAGAACTGCACAGGGGCCAGATCACACTGGGCTGTGGCATCTTGAAGGAGTGGTTTGGGTGTAATTCTAAATAGATTGTGAAGTTTCAAAGAGGATTAAGCAAAGAAGTGAGTTGATCTGTATGCTTTTAAAGGTAGTAGCACTAACTCCCGTATGGATGGATTTTAGGAAGCAAGTATAGAGACAGAGAGTAGATAAGAAGCTATCACCAGAGACTCACCCCAGCAAAAGGTGAGGGTCTGATTTAGACTGATGATAGTGGAAATAAAAAAGTAGAATTCTGGGCTCTATGACTGTTTTGCTGATAGAATATGGCAGAAGCAGCACTTCCAGTTTCCAGGCCTAGGACTTAAGACACTAGCAGTTTCTACTTCAATCCCTTGGGACATTTACACTTGGAACTCAGTCACTATGCTTCAAGGAAGCCTTAGCAGCCTGTGGAGAGAAACTTTGTCCCCATCCCTGCAGGCCAGGCAACAGCCAGCTAAGCTTGCCAGCAGCTTTAATGAGTCATCTTGGAAATGGACTCAGCCCCCAAGCCAAGCTGCCCCAGCTGATGCTTCTTGAGCAGTCTTTGTGGAACCACACACAGAAATTACAGATTTGTGAACAAAACTAATGACTATCATTGCTTTAAGTTACTAGGTCGGGGGTGATTTCTTATGCAGTAATAGGACATTTGGGAAATGGGAAGAGATTGAGAGTTCTGTTTTGACCATTCTAAGTTCAAGGTACCTATTAACTGTCCAAGTGGAGAGTTCAAATAAGCAAGAGGTTATAAGAGGCCCCAGGAGAGCTCAGGTCTGGAATAAAAAATTTAATGTCATAGAATAAAGGAAACATATGAGATTTTCCCTAAATTAAGATTAAAAATACAGTTGTGTTTCCCCCAATCCCTTTCCCTAGTCAACTACAATCCTGAAATATTAAATAGAGAATTCCAAAAGTAATTCATAAGTTTGGAATAAATTTTATTACAATATATTGTTATAGTTGCTCTACTTTATTATTAGGTATTATTGTTACTATGCTTAATTTACAAAGTATACTTTATCATAAGTATGCATGTATAGGAATGAATAGAGCATATATAGGGTTAGGTAATATCCACAGTCTCAGGCATCTGGGAACATCTTGTACCCCAAGGATAAGTGGGGATTACTGTATGTAGATGAAAAAAGTCAGAGGAGCTCTGAATTCTGGGAGGACTCCCCCAGGTGGGCACAGGGACCAGAACTTTGAGGAGCTGCTTATCAAGTAAACAGAAAGAAGCCAAAGCTGAGCTTCCACCTTCCCTCCAAGTCGGCAAGTTCTGTGGGTATACTCCAAGTGGGGGCAGAATCTATACAAGTCCTTCCTTCCAGCTGTGGATACTGTTCTTTAGCCATTTACTGAAGTGCTGCATCTATGGATTTGGCAACATTTCCCTTGAGTTTCCCATGCTAATGAAAGAGTGTTTGCCTTTTCACACTAACGGATGATTATCTTCACTTCGGAAAATTGCTTCCTCTGAATCATCCTCTGGGCTGTTAAGTGCGTCTGTAGGCACTCACTGGATTTAGGTTTGCAGGTGATTTAAAAATGTCATGTGGTAACTTGGGAAAGTTGGTGGCTGCACAGCACAAAGCAAAGACTCACTTGCCCTCAGCAGACCTTTGCAGGAAGATGTATCAAGGCTGTTGCCTGCTGCTGAATGCAGCTGCTGGTGGACCTGTACACTGGGAAACCCAGGGATCCCATGCTAGACCCAGCTGCAATCTTCTGAACCCACAGGAAATGCCTTTTACTAAGGCTGTCTGCATCTCATTCCTTCTTCACAGCAGAATGGGTTCTGAGAGCATTACCCAAGTCTACACATTTTTAGCCAGCATTCGAGAGGCAAATGGTTCAGCTGAGGCCTGAGAAAAGTGGTTCCTTATTAAGTGGAGGGAGCAGCCTGGTCCACCAGCGGGACAGGTCATCAGCTGTCTTAAAGCCAGACCCTGGGAGAAGCCGGGGAGGGGGCCCATCCACAGGAAATTAGAGGCCTTGATGGAACTTTCTTTCTGTGACCACCTCCCACTCCAGAAGCTCATGAGTCCAGCAGAGGGGTGACCTAATATTTGTGGTACACTGCCTCCTTCTTCTCAGGGCAGTCTTTATCAGCCTGCAAGAGACCATCCTCAGGGGATTCTTGGCCCTGCAAGGCTTCTCCTATGCCCTTAGACAGTGATTCAGCCATAAAGACATACCTACATGACAGGGCTGTCTTTCCAGAGAACACAGTAAGATCAAAATAGATTTAGAATATGAAACCACTCTAATAGGCAGGTTGCTCTTATTGAATAAAAGGGTTATGAAGTAACCTTTTTGCTTCACTCCAAATGATGACATTAACTCAAAATTGCTGGTTTTCAGATTATCTCATAAGGGTAATGCAACTATTGTCCTTTGTTACTAATCATTGTTATATGTTTGCTCATTTATTCATTTATGTAACATATCTATTGAGGGCCTACTAAGTGCTAGGCATTGTAGGAGCTAGGGATAGAGCAGCGAGCAAAATAAAGTCCCTGCCCTGGGGAATTTAGATTCCAGCATGGGTCAAGGGGACTGACAATAAACAAGTGAACATATAAATGTTCATTCACTCATTCAAGTCAAATAGTGACAGTGCTATAAAGGAAGTAGGATTAAAGGATACACAGTGAGAAGGGGGAGTGACTGTTTTAGGTAGGATGAGCTTATCACTGGTGTCACAAATCTAAGCCCTTTCCAGGACATCAGCTCCTCAAACTAAGCCTGGCAGCACAGACCCTGGCAATCTTCTTTACTCACCCAGCAAGAACTTGGCATTTCATGTCTCACCAGGCCCAACAAGGCGCCAAAGGGTGAACAAAAAAAAAATCCTAGAAAAGGCACCACCTAGTGGTTGTAAGATGGAGTTGACCTGTATTCAGTTGCTCATCCCTTTGCCTGGGAGCTCAAATGTCCACAATTCAAGATAAAATGTTACCCAGCAGGGCCTTGAGGACCAGGGCTATCGTTCTGAGTGGTTACATATAGTTTGACACAGATTCTAGGGTGTATCTGTTTAGATCTTTCTGTTTCCTCTGCCTGGTCTAAAAACTAATGATCAAGGGGGAATTCATTGGTTTACATCATTTCAAATTATTGACACACACACACACACACACACACACACACACACACCATGTTCATTCACTCATTTTTATGGTCTAGGCACTAGAGAGAGAGAGAGAGAGAGAGAGAGAGAGAGTGTGTGTGTGTGTGTGTGTGTGTGTATTGCCAAGATGGGGGGGGGGAAGAAGTTGAAAGAATGATGGAAAAAATTACCCCTAAATTGTAATCATATATAATGTTTGAGCATGTATAGCTCCAGGAGCTACTACTATACCCCTCTGACCTGGATTGTTCTCTGCTTCTACATTCTTTCCTAGGACAGAAGGATAATTCTGAGGCATAGTTTGAAGTTTTCAGTCTTTTCCTATAAAGTGCAGGAGATACACAAGTCTACCTCAAACCTGACCTTTGATGCTGGCTTTGCTTCATTACATTAGTTTTGAGTTTGAAAAACATTAATAGTTGCTGGGCAGGAACTGGAACCGATGCCACGGGGTAGGACAGAGCCCAGTGGTGTATGACACAACCATGCACTGCAGAAGAGCACGGCCGCAAAGAGAAAAGCTTGTGGTGACCCTGGCCAGGACTGCTGTGCTGTGCTCACTCTCCACGGCCTTGTAGTGACCACAAATTCATAGTCATCACAGGTGCCAGCGCAACTGCATGTATGTTCACCTGGTCATGATATAAAACTGTGGACAAGGAGGCAAGATGGTGTGATGGTGGCAAAGCAAGAACATGTGCCCAGGACCCTGATATTAGTTCCAGGTGACTTGGCTGGAGCTGCTTTTAGCAGCTGCCTCAGGTAATTCAACTGAAGTGTTGAGCAATGTGGGTATAATTGTAAGAGGCTGGGTAACCTTCACTCAGGGCTCCCCAAGGAACTGGGGTGACTTGATAGTTCACTCACCCAATATCACCCC